GAGTGAGTGAGTGAGGCCACCGGGTGACACCAGTGAGTGAGTGAGTGAGGCCACCTGGTGACACCAGTGAGTGAGTGAGTGAGGCCACCTGGTGACACGAGTGAGTGAGTGAGACCACCTGGTGACACGAGTGAGTGAGTGAGGCCACCGGGTGACACCAGTGAGTGAGTGAGTGAGGCCACCTGGTGACACCAGTGAGTGAGTGAGTGAGGCCACCTGGTGACACCAGTGAGTGAGTGAGTGAGGCCACCTGGTGACACGAGTGAGTGAGTGAGTGAGACCACCTGGTGACACGAGTGAGTGAGTGAGGCCATGAGGCCACCTGGTGACACGAGTGAGTGAGTGAGTGAGACCACCTGGTGACACGAGTGAGTGAGTAAGGCTACCTGGTGACACGAGTGAGTGAGTGAGTGAGGCCACCTGGTGACACGAGTGAGTGAGTGAGGCCACCTGGTGACACGAGTGAGTGAGTGAGGCCACCTGGTGACACGAGGGAGTGAGTGAGGCCACCTGGTGACACGAGTGAGTGAGTGAGGCCACCTGGTGACACGAGTGAGTGAGTGAGTGAGTGAGTGAAACCACCTGGTGACACGAGTGAGTGAGTGAGGGCACCTGGTGACACGAGTGAGTGAGTGAGTGAGGCCACCTGGTGACACCAGTGAGTGAGTGAGGCCACCTGGTGACACGAGTGAGTGAGTGAGGCCACCTGGTGACACGAGTGAGTGAGTGAGGCCACCTGGTGACACGAGTGAGTGAGTGAGGCCACCTGGTGACACGAGTGAGTGAGTGAGTGAAACCACCTGGTGACACGAGTGAGTGAGTGAGGCCACCTGGTGACACGAGTGAGTGAGTGAGTGAGGCCACCTGGTGACACGAGTGAGTGAGTGAGTGAGACCACCTGGTGACACGAGTGAGTGAGTGATGCCACCTGGTGACACCAGTGAGTGAGTGAGGCCACCTGGTGACACCAGTGAGTGAGTGAGGCCACCTGGTGACACCAGTGAGTGAGTGAGTGAGGCCACCTGGTGACACGAGTGAGTGAGTGAGTGAGACCACCTGGTGACACGAGGGAGTGAGTGAGACCACCTGGTGACACGAGTGAGTGAGGCCACCTGGTGACACGAGTGAATGAGTGAGGCCACCTGGTGACACGAGTGAGTGAGTGAGGCCACCTGGTGACACGAGTGAATGAGTGAGGCCACCTGGTGACCCGAGTGAGTGAGGCCACCTGGTGACACGAGGGAGTGAGGCTATCTGGTGACACGAGGGAGTGAGTGAGACCACCTGCTTACACGAGTGAGTGAGTGAGGCCACCTGGTGACACCTGTGAGTGAGTGAGTGAGTGAGTGAGGCCACCTGGTGACACGAGTGAGTGAGTGAGTGAGTGAGGCCACCTGGTGACACGAGTGAGTGAGTGAGGCCACCTGGTGACACGAGTGAGTGAGTGAGTGAGGCCACCTGGTGACACGAGTGAGTGAGTGAGGCCACCTGGTGACCCGAATGAGTGAGTGAGGCCACCTGGTGACACGAGTGAGTGAGTGAGGCCACCTGGTGACACGAGTGAGTGAGTGAGGCCAGCTGGTGACACGAATGAGTGAGTGAGTGAGGCCACCTGGTGACACGAGTGAGTGAGTGAGGCCACCTGGTGACACGAGTGAGTGAGTGAGTGAGGCCACCTGGTGACACGAGTGAGTGAGTGAGGCCACCTGGTGACACGAGTGAGTGAGTGAGTGAGGCCACCTGGTGACACCAGTGAGTGAGTGAGGCCACCTGGTGACACGAGTGAGTGAGTGAGTGAGGCCACCTGGTGACACCAGTGAGTGAGTGAGGCCACCTGGTGACACGAGTGAGTGAGTGAGTGAGGCCACCTGGTGACACGAGTGAGTGAGTGAGGCCACCTGGTGACACGAGTGAGTGAGTGAGTGAGGCCACCTGGTGACACGAGTGAGTGAGTGAGGCCTCCTGGTGACACGAGTGAGTGAGTGAGGCTATCTGGTGACACGAGTGAGTGAGTGAGGCCACCTGGTGACACGAGTGAATGAGTGAGGCCACCTGGTGACACGAGTGAGTGAGTGAAGCCACCTGGTGACACGAGTGAATGAGTGAGACCACCTGGTGACTCGAGTGAGTGAGTGAGGCCACCTGGTGACACGAGTGAGTGAGTGAGGCCACCTGGTGACATGAGTGAGTGAGTGAGTGAGGCCACCTGGTGACACGAATGAGTGAGTGAGGCCACCTGGTGACACGAGGGAGTGAGTGAGGCCACCGGGTGACACGAGTGAGTGAGTGAGTGAGGCCATCTGGTGACACCAGTGAGTGAGTGAGACCACCTGGTGACACGAGTGAGTGAGTGAGGCCACCTGGTGACCCGAATGAGTGAGTGAGGCCACCTGGTGACACGAGTGAGTGAGTGAGGCCACCTGGTGACACGAGTGAATGAGTGAGGCCACCTGGTGACACGAGTGAGTGAGTGAGGCCACCTGGTGACACGAGTGACTGAGTGAGGCCAGCTGGTGACACGAGTGAGTGAGTGAGGCCACCTGGTGACACGAGTGAATGAGTGAGGCCACCTGGTGACACGAGTGAGTGAGTGAGGCCACCTGGTGACATGAGTGAGTGAGTGAGTGAGTGAGGCTACCTGGTGACACGAATGAGTGAGTGAGGCCACCTGGTGACACGAGTGAGTGAGTGAGGCACCAGGTGACACGAGTGAGGCACCAGGTGGCCCCGTGAGGCACCAGGTGGCATGAGTGAGGCACCAGGTGACACCGTGAGGCACCAGGTGACACGAGTGAGGCACCAGGTGACACGAGTGAGGCACCAGGTGACACGAGTGAGGCACCAGGTGACACGAGTGAGGCTCCAGGTGACACGAGTGAGGCACCAGGTGACACGAGTGAGGCTCCAGGTGACACGAGTGAGGCACCAGGTGACACGAGTGAGGCACCAGGTGACACCGTGAGGCACCAGGTGACAAGAGTGAGGCACCAGGTGACACGAGTGATGCACCAGGTGACACCGTGACGCACCAGGTGACACGAGTGACGCACCAGGTGACACGAGTGAGGCACCAGATGACACGATCGAGGCACCAGGTTACACGAGTGACGCACCAGGTGACACGAGTGACACACCAGGTGACACGAGTGACGCACCAGGTGACACGAGTGACGCACCAGGTGACACGAGTGACACACCAGGTGACACGAGTGACGCACCAGGTGACACGAGTGACGCACCAGGTGACACGAGTGACGCACCAGGTGACACGAGTGAGGCACCAGGTGACACGAGTGAGGCACCAGGTGACACGAGTGAGGCACCAGGTGACACGAGTGAGGCACCAGGTGACACGAGTGACGCACCAGGTGGCCCCGTGAGGCACCAGGTGTCACCGTGAGGCACCAGGTGGCCCCGTGAGGCACCAGGTGTCACCGTGAGGCACCAGGTGGCCCCGTGAGGCACCAGGTGTCACCGTGAGGCACCAGGTGGCCCCGTGAGGCACCAGGTGTCACCGTGAGGCACCAGGTGGCCCCGTGAGGCACCAGGTGTCACCGTGAGGCACCAGGTGGCCCCGTGAGGCACCAGGTGTCACCGTGAGGCACCAGGTGGCCCCGTGAGGCACCAGGTGTCACCGTGAGGCACCAGGTGGCCCCGTGAGGCACCAGGTGTCACCGTGAGGCACCAGGTGGCACCACACAGGGCCAGCCTGGCCTCTGATGCTGCTGCATTACCTATAACTAAGTTTCTCTCCCATGTCCAGACTGTTACTTAATTGTTAATTGTTTCTAATTGTCTAAGCGATAGTTGTAGGCTTAAATTCAGCAGACGTAGTGTGAGAATTAAGGTGCCAGAGTGTCCTCTGGCACCGCTGCCTGGCACTCTCATCATTCCTGGTCACTCTGATCATTCACGGTCACTGATCATTCTTGGTCACTATGATCATTCCCGGTCACTCTGATCATTCTAGGTCACTCTGATCATTCTAAGTCACTCTGATCATTCTTTGTCACGCTGATCATTCTCGGTCACTGACCTTTCTCTGTCACTCTGATCATTCTTGGTCACTCTGATCATTCCTTGTCACTCTGATCATTCCTTGTCATTATGATCATTCTTGGTCACTCTGATCATTCTTGGTCACTCTGATCATTCTTGGTCACTCTGATCATTCCTGGTCACTGATCATTCTTGGTCACTCTGATCATTCTTGGTCACTCTGATCATTCATGGTCACTCTGATCATTCCTTGTCATTATGATCATTCCTGGTCACTCTGATCATTCTTGGTCACTATGATCATTCCCGGTCACTATGATCATTCTTGGTCACTCTGATCATTCTTGGTCACTATGATCATTCCCGGTCACTATGATCATTCTTGGTCACTCTGATCATTCTTGGTCACTATGATCATTCCCGGTCACTATGATCATTCTTGGTCACTCTGATCCTTCTTGGTCTCTTTGATCATTCCTTGTCACTCTGATTATTCTTGGTCATTCTGATCATTCATGGTAACTGTGATCATTCGTGGTCATTAGGATCATTCTTGATCACTCTGTTCATTCATGGTCACTCTGATCATTCTTGGTCACTCTGATCATTCTTGGTCACTCTGATCATTCTTGGTCACTCTGATCATTCCATGTCACTATGATCATTCTTGGTCAATCTGATCATTCCTTGTCACTCTGATCATTCATGGTCATTCTGATCATTCGTGATCACTCTGATCATTCATAATTACTCTGATCATTCTTGATCGCTGAGATCATTCCTTGTCACTCTGATCATTGTCACTGATTATTCTTGGTCACTGATCATTCTTGGTCACTGAGATCATTCTTGGTCACAGAAATCATTCTTGGTCACTTGGTCAAACTGCTCATGCCTGGTCAGTGATCATTCTTGGTCTCGATCATTTTGATCACTTAGATCATTCTTAGCCACTGATTGTTCATATCGTTGATAGAACTGATTGTTCTTGGTCACTCAGATCACTCGTGGTCTCTCTGTTCACTCACTTGGTAACTTAGATCCTTCTTGTTATTGAGATCATTCTTGTCACTGAGATCATTCTTGTCACTGAGATCCTTCTTGTTATTGAGATCATTCTTGTTATTGAGATCATTCTTGTCACTGAGATCATTCTTGTCACTGAGATCCTTCTTGTTATTGAGATCATTCTTGTTATTGAGATCATTCTTGTTATTGAGATCATTATTGTCACTGAGATCATTCTTGTTATTTAGATCATTCTTGTCACTGAGATCATTCTTGTTATTGAGATCATTCTTGTCACTGAGATCATTCATGTTATTGAGATCATTCTTGTCACTGAGATCATTCATGTTATTGAGATCATTCTTGTCACTGAGATCATTCTCGTCACTGAGATCATTCATTGTCATTCCGATCATCCTTAATCACTGATTATTCTTGGTCACTCAGACCATTCTTGACACTGAGATCATCCGTATTCCCTGATCATTCTTGATCACATTCCTGGACGTTCCGATCTACTCGGATCATTCTTGGACCATTTTGTCTACCAGGGTCAATTGTTTAATTTTTTTCTATCACCTCGATCATTTATGGTGATTTTTCAGAGCCGATCCTCCAGACTGTTGGTACTCGTGGCTTGCATAGTCTCCAGAATGCACCAAAATAGACCGCTGGACCCCTTTTAACACACAGAGTTGTAAACCCGGTGGAACCGCCTACCCGCCTCAGGTGTAAACGCTAAGACTCTGCTATTTGACAAGCCGCCAGCTTACTGTCCTCATCGAGGCCACTAGTCTTAGTGGCTCTCAGATAAATTCAGGTTCACGTTTTTGCAAAGGGTTCGAACACAAGGCCAAAACAAAACTTTACAAATTCCTAGGCCTAGAATAACACATATATGATCTAATATTAGACCTATATAACATATATTTTTAAATATATTATATATTTATTATAAGTATTAGGCCTATTTATTAGGCCTAAGATAGCGTATATTCAGCCTAGTAATATTTAAATCAGGTTTTTCAGTAACATTATAAAAGAATATCATTTGGGCTAATTCACTAAGTGTGAAAGATGGATGGATAGTTGGATAGGTAAATGGATAAATAGATGGAAGGATAGATATAGATGGACGGAAAGATAGATGAGTAAATGGATGGATAGATGGAAGGACAGATGGACAGACGGACAGATAGATGGATTGACGAATAGATAATGGATGGATGCATAGATCGATAGATGGTTGCACAGATGAATAGATAAAAATATGAAAAGATGGAGAGATTGATAGATGCACAGTTGGGCGGATAGATTAGCGAATAGATCGGTAGATATATGGATATGTAGATAAATTGATAGATATATGTATGTATGAAAGGAAAGATGGTTGGTTTGATGAATAGATAGATAGACAGATATATGGACAGAAAGGTAGCTAGATAGAGAGATGGATAGATGATAAATAAATAGATGGGGCCCTGTGGCTTCTACTGAAGCCTGGCGGTGGTTCAAGAGTTCTCCCTCCAACACAACTCTTCAAATCATCAAATAACACAATGAAATCAATTTAGCATGATGAATATGAGACAATCAGTAGGAGCCTTGAGATAGATTCGAACCCGCACACTTGGTACTCCCAAGCACACGCCCAACACCACTACACCACGACATGGCCTAAAGCAATGCAACCTGGGAGTGCATGGGGCGAGAGGGGTTGGGGGGGGGGGTGTTGGAGCAATGAGTGAAAATCTGATTGGGCTTCAGTGGAAGCCTCAGGATCCCTAGAGGATTCAGAAGAATCCCTGGTTGCATTGTTTTTGATCATGTGGTGTAGTGGTCTATTGCGTGTGCTTGGGAGTACCCAGTGTTCGGGTTCGAATCCTTCTCATGGCTCCACCTGGTTTTCTCATTGATACATCACTTTAATGTAATTTCAATGTGTATATATGTATATGTTTATATTGTACCCAATAGGCCAAGTTGCCTAACAAGCCGGATTTTCCTGAAATTTTATATATATATATATATATATATATATATATATATATATATATATATATATATATATTTATCGAATGATAACTCTTTAACATATATATAATCATATATGTAATCATCATATATGATTACAATGTTTATAATTTGTGTTAAAACTACATTTTTTTTTTATCAAATCCACCCTAAGTCAGCCTAAACTAACCGAACTAATTCACTAATTTATCTATTTAACATAATTATTTTATAATTATATTTTATAGTTTAATTATATTAATTAAATAAAATTGAAAAGATCAAAAATCAATTTGCTTATTAGGCAAATCGGGTCTTGCATACTAGGCCAAATAATACGATTCCAGCTATTAGGTACTATATATATATATATATATATATATATATATATATAATATATATATATATATATATATATATATATATATATATATATATATATTGTGACGATAATCTCCTTCAAGAGATTGAGCCTGCTCTTCCCTCCAAAATACGTCGATATAAATCCCTATACAACTAATATGGAAGAAATATCCAACAACGACAACAACACCAAGTTTTGCCAGAAGCGCAAAACGTATGCAGCCAGGAATACCTGCTCCACCTCGAACCACCAAACTACCTGTCTTGTTGCCTGCTCATCGCTGATTGGCTGCGGGTCCAGTTGCAACTGCACTCCACCCCACACACTACTTGATGTCTGGGGCCTCGCCGACCTCAGTCCTCAGAATATCCAGTGCTTTCATCAGGTTAACACGTCTCGTTGGTAGACTAAGCTGTGGCTTACGTGTACTAAGAGAGGTGATAGCTTAAAGCCAATATTCCTGCACCTCTTATTTGATTGTATATTGTTCTATTGTTATTACTCACTTGTCTTAACGTAACTTTTCATTTTGTCATTTGATTATTTTGATTGATTGATTTTATTATACGAATTTGTATGCCCATTTTATTCATGTTTTGCTTTTCTAACGTAATTAAAATTTCATTGTTAAATTTACTTGTGTTTTGTGTGTCTTCTCATTACCTTACCACAGACGAAGTTCCAGATTTTCTATTTTTTGTTTCTATATGTGACGAGGCCATACCCCTAGCTTTTGAACAGCCGAACACCAATGCTTTACCGTCACAATATATATATATATATATATATATATATATATATATATATATATATATATATATATATATATATATATATATATATATATATATATATATATATGTGTGTGTATATCACGAAAATAAACACGTGATTAAGAATGTGACAATGTCAGACCACGAAGGAAAAATGAAACAGGAAATTTCCTTAAGTACTTTCGTATATTAAATACATCTTCAGAAGGTCCAAAGGACCTTCTGAAGATGTATTTAATATACGAAAGTACTTAGGAATTTCCTGTTTCATTTTTCCTTCGTGGTCTGACATTGTCATATATATATATATATATATATATATATATATATATATATATATATATATATATATATATATATATATATATATATATATATATATATTGTGACAATAATCTCTTTCAAGAGAGATTGAGCCTGCTCTTCCCTATATCATTTACGTCATTCTACAAGTACAAGATGCTATATTAAAGATACGTCCACCAGTATCACAAAACGTTTTGCCCAGGAAGCAAAGCGTACCTTGCACCACCAGACACGCCGGCTCTCCACCCGTCGTCAACGAGCAAACTACCCATTCTCCGCCTGCCTGCTCCTGATTGGCTGGTGTATCGCCTAAAGCACCTGCACCTGCCCTCACGCCATCTACCTGAGTCGACGTCTGGGCCAGCTCATGCCGTCCTCCTCAGAATATCTCTGTGCTCTTAGAAGTTGACATCTCTCTCTGGTATACTAAGCCCTGGCTGTCGTGTACTAAGGGAGGTGGCAGCTCTAGCCAATATTCTCAGCACCTGATTATCATTATTATTGTCTTGTACATTATTTTATTTTAGAATAAATTTCCACACCTATTAATTATTCATGTTGTTTTGTTTGTTGACTTGTTTTGAATTTTACGTAAGCCAAGGGATTGTCTTTGTTCATATCTTGTTTTCTAAAGTAATTAAAATTTAATTGTTTATATTTTGTGTTTTGTGTATCTTCCCATTACCTTACCACAGACAAACAGGCAAGCAGTCTCTTTTTTTTTCTGTAAGTGTGACCAGGCATTGCCACTCTCCATTGGAGGACTGCTGAACATCAACACTCCAACACTTTACCGTCACAATATATATATATATATATATATATATATATATATATATATATATATATATATACATGTATCTCTCTGTGTGTGTATGTATTAATATAAATAAACGAATTTATCTGATGTATTTAACCCTTAGTCCAATTAGATACATTCACTTGCTTTCAAGTGGGTAAACATATGAATATATCCACAACTCTCAAGTGTTGGGGGCGCGCGTGTGCGTGCGTGCGTGCGTGCCGGTAATGAAGAGGTGCACCCAACTTTTACAAAGACTACAGTAATTGAAGAGCATCCGGGATAATGCGCGGATCGCGTGGGTCTCTGATGACGACGGTCAGCTCGCTCGAAATGGCCTTTGAAGGGCATTTTTGGCCTCTGTAATTACTCTATATCTTAACGAGGACATTATATGCTACGATGATTTTATTTTCATCTGTTTGGTACTTTTGTTTGTTTAAGGCCGATAATAACGCGCCTTCCCTGTCGCTCACCCCTCCCCCCCCCCTCCCTTGCAGAATGTCAATGATTTCCGTGTATAATATTCATTAGTATTCGTCAGTAGCAATGACGGGTAAGTTAGCTCAATAACCTCTAAAGGTGAGTTGTGATGCAATTAAGTCAATGTAATAAAGGGACTTAATGCTTGTTGCTTCCAGCAGGGTACAGCAGTCAACATGTTGGTTGATGCCTGCTCTCTCGGGAGGTATGCTGGTTGATGCCTGCTGTCACGGTAGGTATGCTGGTTGATGCCTCCTGTCTCGGGAGGTATGCTGGTTGATGCCTCCTGTCTCGGGAGGTATGCTGGTTGATGCCTCCTGTCTCGGGAGGTATGCTGGTTGATGCCTACTGTCTCGGGAGGAATGCTGGTTGATGCCTGCTGTCTCGGGAGGTATGCTGGTTGATGCCTGCTGTCACGGGAGGTATGCTGGTTGATGCCTTCTGTCACGGGAGGTATGCTGGTTGATGCCTGCTGTCTCGGGAGGTATGCTGGTTGATGCCTTCTGTCTCGGGAGGTATGCTGGTTGATGCCTGCTGTCTCGGGAGGTATGCTGGTTGACGCCTGCCGCCGAAGCATGGCGTCAGTACCTGTTTCCTGCAGCCTGCAGAGGATGCCTGCGGCGTGACTGGTAGTGAAGGTGGGCTCCCGCCTCAGTCATGCTGACC